GTTGGCTGGTCCGCCCCCGACTTTCCCTGCCAATGCATGCCGCTCAATTCCTCAAGAAAGGAGAGGCGTGGCAGGCAGAATGAGAGAGTAAGAGGAGATCTGATGTAACCTCAAGGTTTCGGTTAGGGCTTGTTCGGCCTAACCTTAGCCTTCCCCCATCGCCTGTGCTGGCCCTCCTCCATGTCCTTTTCTCTCCTCTCCCGTCCTCCTTCCTGTATGTCTCCACCAAATTTCTTCTGCTTTTACCCAGCGCTGCTCGTCAGAGAAACCACACAATAAGCTAGACTTCGCTCGCGCGTGCAGGCCATCCGCCCTCCAGAAGGCCACCAAAACCAAACTCGCAAGCGTCGCCACCGATGGGGGGGGCGACCACGAAATGCTAGAAGACCCTACAGACGAGGAGCTAGACATGACGCGGCGCGTGCGAGGTTATCCGAGCGACGTGGACGCTGGGCATGGCTTGCACCGACAACTTCTACACCGTGGTCCGTCCGAGGCGGCAAGTGGACGTACCTGAAAAAACAGACGGCTGCCGAAGTTATGATAGCGGCTGGCTTTCCTGCCGATATCTGTACAGTAAAGACGTGAAGTATGGGAGGATGTACTCAGAAGCGGCTCAGCATTGAGACAGAATACGAGCCCTAGGCTCGAGGCGAATGTCGGCGACTGCATCAGATGATGGCGACGACCTTTGCAAATTGCAAGCGGGTGGTACTTCCTTGCTGTGAAGATGGCAATGTGCCCGCAACGTCTGCGATACAAAGAAAGCACAATAGTGTTCAGACAGAGAAGGTCCAGTGACTATCCGAAAATATTGTGACAGATCGCTGGACAATCGACATCGAATCGGCGCCGAAGACCCTCGGACCCTGGGAAGGCCGCGGAGCCTCGTCGAAAAGCGCGTCCAGCCCGCGCGGGTTGCAGCCTTCGCGGGACGGTCGGAGGTCATTATCCTCGTCATCGTCGCCTCCTCCTCCTCCTCCTCCTTCTCCTCATTCTCCGCCACCTCCTCCTCATCCACTTCCTCCTCGTCCTCCTCATCCTCCTCATCCTGCTCCTCCTTCTCCTCCTCCTCCTCCTCCTGCTCCCTCTCCTCCTGGTCCTCCTCCTCCTCCTTCTTTCGCCTCCTCCTTCTCCTCCTCGTCCCCCATCCCTCCTTGAGGCAGATCACGAGAAATTTGATGTCAGGATGCGCGCTCAGAGACCGATCCAGGCAATGTTTGTTCGGCATCCGTTCTGTCTGTGCGCCGAGGGAGTACACTTGGTCTTGCGCTTGGCCGGCGGCGAACCACTTGCGTCCATGTCTGCCGCCACAGTCGGCAGCGGAGCGCGGCCAGCCAGGAAGCCACGGGCACTCGAGGCGCGGCCCTGCGAGGGCCGGCGCCCGCAGTGCTCGCGAGCCCCTGGCCAGCCGTACTCTGCCCAAGCGTGCAGGGGCGATCCACGGCAAGAGCCGTGCTCGAGGGAGACGCGGAAGCAGAATTCACGGCGATGGCCCCGCGAGCGGCGACCGAGGGCGAGGCGCAGGAAGCTGTGCCAGCAGCCGCTCCGGCGAGCGGCGAAGCCCCGAGTGAGCCTGGCGTGGTCAGCGTCAGTCCAGAACAGCTCAGGGACATGGTCGCGGGCGTAGTGCGAGAGACTGCGAGAGCTCGACCTGACGTCCCTGAACCAGTCGTTGCAGCACCCAGCGACGACGCCTGGCACGACAGCAAGTATGACCCCTGGGTCTAGGGGCGTAGCAGGGAGCAGCAGAGTCTACCTGGTGAAGGAAGCCATCCATGGTCCCCCAAGACGGAGGAGAACTGGAACAACAGTTGGCAGTCCAGCAGCTGGCGCGAGGCGACCAGAGGCTGGGATAGGGTGCCTGGCAGCCCCAATCATGGCAAGGGGGCGACTCCTACGGCCCGAAGGGCGACTTCAGCGACCCACACACCTGGCCCGGCTGGGGCTACTACAGTGACTACAGATCATGGAAGGAGGCCCGCCGAAGATATAACAGCAACGCCGCCGTGCCCGTTTGGAGAAGGCCCGACAAGTTCTTGAACCTCTTTGAATGGCACTTCCTGGCTAAGTTTGAGGACATCCCCGAGACCACGCTCATGTCCAGTCGCTGGCTCAACACCCTCCCAGGGCGTATGGGTCTCCTGGCCGGCGAGAGGGATCGTGACGAACGGGCAGGACGACGAGCGTTCTACAAGGCGAACCGCGAGCCGAAGGAAATCCTGACCTAGTTTGTGATCAGGCGCGAAGCCCAGCGCTTCTCGAGGCCGAGGGTTTGGACCTGTGGATGTTGCCGAAGCAGGAGAGCTTCCTCATGGAAGAAGGCACCGGACTCCCACAGCAGGGGGTCCAGAACTGACGGACACTGACCCGCGGCGGGGCGCTTCGCCAGATGGACGCCAGCCGTTCTGAAAGGCTGTTGCCCGGGCGATCTGGAGCCGGGGCGATGCTCGCTTCGTCTACTGAGGACCCTGCGTCCGCCAGCGCACGTGAGTCTAAACAGGCTTCTCAATCCTCCTCCTCTCCCCTCCCTTGGTCTGGTGGAGTCGACGGGCGCCGAGGCCCTGGACAACGACATGGAGAACTACTACAATGACGACGTGGAGATCAGGCGGCGGCGGGTCCCGCGGCCCCAACCCAACCTCCGACGACCTGGCCGAAAAGCAACGGCAAGAAGTCGGGGAGTGCGTCGCCGACGAGAGCGAAGGCGGCCAGCTGGAGCTCGAGGGGGCCGCCGTCGAGATCAAGGGTGCGGCCGACGACATCGGCACGCAAAACTCTGAAGTTGAGGGAGGTCAACTCGCGGGCAAGACGGAGGAGGCCCGAGGCGGGCGGCAGGAGGCTAGAGGTGGCGGGCCACCCTTAGGATAGGTGGAGGCACCCGAAAAATTGGAGTGGTTAAGCCGCGCGGTGCTCGCCATGCAGGGCCTCGCCATGCAGAGGAGCACCTGCGCCTCGCCATGCAGGGCCCGGATGCCAACTGGTTGTCCGACCATCACCAGGCAAAGCAGCAAAGGACCCCGCTGCCCGAGTCGACGCCCAAGCTGGCTAGGCGAAAAGAGGTTATGTACGAGATCGACACCGGCCCGAGCCTGCAGCGCGCGGCCACGGCGACGGGGCTCCTCGGCTGTAACCTGCGCGACCGCGGCCAAGGAAGCGGACGAGGCCTACGATGTCGCGGCGCTGGCGGCCCACGCGGTCGAGTTCCGCTGCCCGGAGTTTGCCGAGGCGGCTGGTGCCTTCCTGAAGTACAACTACCAGCGGGGCAAGGCGGGCGGGGTCGCCCTTGGTCAAGCTAAGGTTGGGTCCATCACGTGGGGCGCGGACGACGAGCCGGGACAGGGCGCTCAATCCCTGGCGGGGCTTGAACTGCCCATGCTCGACTGCCGTGACAAGTTGGCTCTGGACGCCGAGGCGGTAGAATCCCTGGACGGCCTCCAGCATGCACGAGTGCGCCGTGATCAAGGCGGCGGCCGCCGCCATGATCGGCAATGACCCGGCGCCACCAGGGGGACGGCCCTCAGCGATCGAGGCTCAGGAGATGGGTTCGAGGCCGAGGAAAGAGATGCTGACCGCGGCCAGAGCCGCGGATGGCGCACTCGGAGAGACGCCAAGGGCTCTCGCCCACGCGAAGGCGGACCTCCGCATCTGCTGCCGCGATCTCACCTACAGGGGCCACGACAAGGATTCCGCGTGCATGTTGCGCTCCCACTAGTCTTCCTGCGCCACAGGGCCCTTGGGGCCGCCCGCGCGGACTTCTGCAGCCGAGCGGCGGTCGAGCCCATCATCGGCACTGAGGTCACCCGCGAAGAGGAGGACATATTGTGGGCCTCGGTGCACAAGGGGCACACGCGAGCGCTGGTCACCCCTGGCGCGGTTGTTCTCGGCCAGCTGCATGGGGCAGCGATCGACGTCCAGATTCTCCCGGCGCCGAGCTGGATGGCGTTGCTCGAACTGGCGCTGGCGCCCAAGCCCCCGCCCGCGCGTCCATGGGCGCTCGCGTCCCGGCGCTGTGCGGGGGCGGCGGGGATCGCCGCCGCCAGGAAACCAGCGTCTGGCTTCCTGGTCTGGCTCTTGAGCGAAGAAACCTTCACCAACTCTGGCCTCTTTTAGGAAAAGGTCGCGGCGGGATAGATCGAGGGCGATGAGGAGGGCGAGACCACCGAGACGGGCGGGGTGCCAGCTCATCTTGGCTTGGTGACCTATCAGCGGGCCGACCACATCGAACGACATGCATCGTCTTCTCGGAGATCTTCCCTGGCGAAGCCAAGATCTCCCAGGCGGTCGCGCAGAAGGGCGGCTCTGCGATCGGTGGCCATGCGCGACCCTCGCCAGACGTGGATCAGCTGGCGGCGCACGGCCATCTGCGCGCTCGCGGCCTTGAGCGGGCCCCGGGGGAGCGACGTGTCGCGCGTCAAGAAAGAGGGGGAGCTGTTCCTCGCGCTGGCCAAACAGATCACGGCGGAGAGGAGGGCCCGGAGGCGGGGCCCATTGGCCGAGAACCCCTGGCTCTGAGCAGCCAGGAAGCAAATGGAACGGCTGCTGACGGACCTCCCGCGGCAGCAGGTGCGCCTGGACCACTGCGCCGTCAACCTCCGCAGTGCTGCGGGAGGGCCCCATCTCATGCCGGCGCGCACTGCCACTGTGGATGGTCTCCCGAACTCCGTCGGGCGACGTCTAGACATCACGTGCGACGAGAGAACATGGGCGAGGATATGGCGAGCTCTTTTCACTGCCAAGCGCGCGTGCTCCTGGAAGGGGGCCGCCGGGCCCCCTTCCCCTGAACCGAAAAACAACGGTTAAGGAAAAGTGCTCAAGGTTCTGGGCTAAGCTCCAGAGCCGCTGAGGACCTCCGAGGACCCCGAGGGCCTCTAGAGCCACACCGGCTGTACCCTACTGTTCAGAACCGATGAACTCCTGCAAATCCCGGAGTCACGCGCTGGATGGGCCTCCGGCTGAGCTGCGAAGGCCTGCAGGGCCTTCCCGAGCCTCTTATAAGCCTATGGCTCGTAGTTGTCGCTGTCCTTCTCATTGCCCTGGCGCTGACACCCCGCGCAGCTCATCTCGTAGATGTCCAGACCAGTATAGCAGCAGTCGGTCACGCAGGCGTAGTGAGCTGGCTCCTTCTGCTCGCGCTTGACCCTCTCCTCGTAGCGGCGGCGTAGCGCGATGCTGTCCGCAGCGATGCCGTACACTCCTTGCTCCAGGGCGCGTCGCAATAATGAGCTTTCTCCATTTGTCTCGGCGAGCGGGTCCGTCAACGGGCTCGCCCCTTCGACCCAGCGTAAATGCACTTCAGGTCGCTGCATGGCTGCTCTTGCGATGGCCGCGTCGATCGCCGCGCGCTTGTCCTCCGCCAGGCTAGCCTTGGGGTTGGTCACGTGGTCGCAACCTCCGCGGGAGTCGGCGGCGCTGGTGACTGGGGAGCGCCCCGACAGCAGGTAGGGCCCCATGAGATCATGCGTTTGGTCACCGATATCGAATAGCATGGCCCGCGAAAGCTCTGCCATGGCCATTCCTTCAGATGTCGCGAGCGTCTCCGCTCCAAATGGATGAGCGCACTTCCTCTTCATCTCGTGGTTCGACCAGGACTGCATGGATATGGCGGCGGTGCACCCATTCAAGATCTGGCGCTGCGTCGCGAACGCGACGCGCCAAGCCTGCGGAACTCCATCTCGCGCATCGGCTCAGGCCGCGCTTTGAAGGCCACGAAGGCTAGCTCATGAAACCGACATGATATTGAAGGCCACGGCGCTGAGCTCCTTGGTCATCCTGCCGCTGCGGCTCGCCTCCAGCAAATCGTCGACACCAACATTGGCATCATCCATTGTCGTAGAGAGGCTGGCCAAGGTAAGTCGGGGCGACTCTCGCGGGCCAGGAGAGACATGGAGTCGCAGAGACGCCTTGCTGGATGAATCTCCTCAGGAGTCAATTACTGCTGCCTCCGAATATTTGCGTCGCTCCGTCGCGATGTTGACCAGCTGGGTGTTGGTCGAACTCAGGCTCACTGAGACGATGGTCACGGTGTTGTCGTCGTTCTGCGTGAGCTCCTTGCCTGTGTGTTTGCCCTTCTCGTGACTCCAGGCCCCGAACCAAAAAACCTCTCGCGCAACTTACTGCATGCCTCGTCGAACTCGCTGTCGCCTCCGCCCGCGACGTCGCCCACATGTAGAAGAGGCAGCTGTCGAAGATGGAACACTTGCAACCACTCTCCTTCGCGTGCTTGGTGAAAAGGTGAAGTCCACTGAAGTGGTGCGCTTCCAAGTCCGTAGACGGCCTTGAGTACCTCCACGAGTGAGCCTTGCTCCACATCTGGACCTCCATCACGCATATGTCTTCCTCGAGATCAATCGATGGGATCTCCTGCCGTAACTGCGGAAGCAATGTCGGCCAGCTGCAACGCCCATTTGCTCGCGCACAAGATCTGCAGTATAAGCAAACGGGGGTCCTTTCCGACCACGGGGCTGTAGGTCTCCAGCTCCAGTCGATAAGGGTCGGCGTGGCCCTGCGACGTCCAGCAAGCCTTCGCCATCCTCCTGTTCCCGTCGCTCGCGCACGTCAGCTGTCTTTCCCCCGCGTGCGCTTCCTCAGGGTCGCCGCCCTTGTCCGTCAGTGCCCACGTAGGTTCCAATATTCGAAACGCAAGCTTTGGAACACGACACGCTCGATCAGCTCCCGCAGACAGTAGTGCATGCACAGTCCGCAGGAGGCGTTCTTGATGTTACCCCACACTCGGCGCTTAGCTCCGAGGCAGGGCTGGTGCTTGTAGGTGTTCAGCAGAGACTTCTAGGTGATTTTCTTTTGAAGTCGCCGGGTGGTGCTAGTGAGTAGGGGGAGCGTCGCCTGCCTGCTGTCCCTGGACCTTCCTGCCCTGCGTCCCGGGGGGGTGGCCCTGCGCCCTTCGGGATCTCCCCCATCGATGGTTGCGATGCGCTCGGGCACCGGAATGGTTGAGCTCGGGGAGTCAAACTTCTGCTGGACGGTGAAGGGCACGTCGTCGAGGTGGTCGTAGCGCTTCGTGGCCATGGGTGCTGGATCTGGGTCGACGTCACCTGCCCTCTCGATATCCTTGATGGGTGGTTGCAGTGATGAGGGTGCTCGATCGTCTCCAGCTGGCTCTGGCGGTGCCGCTCGATGCCCCTCGTCTTCTGGATCATCAGGTGGCCCGTGTTGTCGAATAAGATCCCCGTGCTCGCGGCGGCCTCGGTTCTCGGAGTTCAGCCCCTCCTTCATCGCACTGACGACCTGCCCCCACGCCGTCGTCTCATTCTCGCTGGCAGGTCGTAGCTATTCGGGTGAACACTTCAGCAGGACCCCTTGATAATATCGCCAGAATGCGTTGAGCTCCTGCCTCGCCCTGTAGAACATCTCCATCCACGCGCCTCCAGCTTGTTCCGCCTTGCCAGCCTGCCATGGCGAAGAAGCGCCGACCACCTTGACCTCGGCCACGCCTCCGTCAGCTGCTTCGGGAAACTCGCCCACCGAGAGGCCCGTCTGGCCGCCGCGGGGCGCGCCGTAGACTCGAATTCAGAAAGCTCGGTCGCGTCGGCGTACACGGCGCCCTTGTCGGCTAGGTAGCGGTACCACTATCTGATGTCTCGCGCCGCGGCATGCCGCGTTGAACGTAGGCACCTTGGTGGTAGCCTCGAGACCTAGAGCAAAGAATATGCCCATACCGACCACGTCGTTGGTTCCACAGCTCGGGCACAATAGCTGCTGGGCAACCTCGATGAAGGCCTGTCGGGCCTTGCCGCGCCTCAGGACCACGACCCATTTCTCGTTGCCGCAGTGCCCCATGTTCTCATGGATCTTCTGAACATGCTGCTTCCCCTGGGGGGGCGGAGCTCCTCTCGTCTGTAGTTGGCGCCGTGGGGGGCCCTACAGCAGGGTGGGCAGGTAGCCCCCCCCCCCCCCCCTCGGCCTGCACCTCGACGCTCTCCGAGACCTCCACCGTCGCCTTCTCCTTCGCGATGGGCCGTGCCAGCGACCCGTCAACTCCTTCAGCGACTCGCGGGCCTCTCCCAGCTTCATCTGAGGGGGGGGGGGGGGGCGCGCGCGGACTCCATGGACTTCCAAGGTAAAGTTGGTGCGCAGCTTGAACCATTCGGAGATGCACCTCCCTGAGTGACTTTGGGCACTCGCTTCAACTTCTTAATCGACGGACCCTCCCAGTCCCTCGACTGGGGATCCTGCTCGCAGAATCCTGGTCGCAGTAGAAACACTTGCCGTTGATCGCCTGCTTGATGGCCAAACCGGAGACGAAGGTGAACATCTCCCTGCCGATCATCTCCTTCAGTTTGATGCCACAGATGCCCCTGCGAGGCAAATGGCTGACCGCCAGGGGAGGCGTTGCACTCTGCAGCTCGTTCCAGACCTCCCCCTGGCCTGTCCTCGTCATCAGGTGGTGGCCCATCAACGATATGACCTCTATGCTGCTGATGCTGCTCGTAGCCCCTCGGTCCTCGCCCAGGGGCTTCACCTTCTGCTCGCGCTCGTCCCCGACCTGGCTCATGAAGACCTGGCTCTCCTCCGCAACCTGCGTGAGTTCGTCCACGTCGACAATCTGTTAGGTGGACGTGTTAAGGGAGCTGTTCTGCTTCTTGCTGAGGTGGGCCACGGTTCGCTGATGTCGGTTCCGAGGTGGCCCCTCAGGTTCTCGACCAGCTGGCCAGTCGCCCCGTTGGCGTTCTCGCCCCGCAGCAGCTCGCGCAAGGCCGTGAGGGCATTGCTCCGCGGTGACTCGTCCAACTCCTCCCACACCTGATGCTCGTCTCGCCGATGCCGGGTGGCTGGCTGGCTGTGCCCCGACCTCGGCGTTGCTCTCGTACTAGTCGGTGCCGTCCTTCTGCTCGCGGTCGCCGTCGCCTCGGTCTCCTGCTCCCCTCTCGCGCTGCCCTTCTTGTTCCTCGGCTGCCGCCCCGTGATCTGAACCTCCAGGTCCTCGTGCGCCTCGAACGTCTCGATTACCTCCTGCGTCCCCTACACCGCCTTCGGGCAGTGCTCCAGGTGTTCCTTGCACGCGCTGCGCTGGGCGTAGTGGGCCTTCGCGCTCCCCCCGTGGCTGCTGAGCTCGTGGGTGCAGCTCGTCTCCTGCTTCGGTTTGCGGCCCTTGGCTCTCGCCCCAACAGTCGGCTGGCGGGGGCCCTGGTTGGCGATCTCGAAGTCCCTGCGCACCATCACTCCTGTTGGCGGCCTGTTCTCGTCGCTGATCGCGCGCCGAGGCCGCTCGAAGGTCGCCCTGCGCACGGGGGTGGTCTTCTCCATCTGCTCCTTCGCCTCGTGCGCTACAGGCTCCGCCTCTGCTGCAGATGGCCCCGCCTGGCCCGAAGCCGCTGGTCAGCGCGATGAGAAAGGCTGCGAGCCGCGAGCAGAGGAACTCGGAGGCTCGTCGCATGACATGCAATATGGAAAAATAATGGTTGCGGTTGCCTCTGGGACGCCTGTCCTCGAAATCTGGCTCGAACCGAACGGGCCCGTGGAAATCCTGCCGTCGCTGACGCGCCTTCTTCGATTGACCCCTTCAAGAATCATGTCGTTGCGATGGTCGTTGCTCTTGCTTAGCGTGCCGTGATTGCTCTCCTGCTCGCTCGCGTCTGCCCCGGCGTTGTTGTGCTGGCCGCTGCTCTCGTTTGCCTTGCTGTTGTTCCCTGGCCAGTTGCTCCTCCCGCTTCGTGCTCCTCCGGATCCCCGCAGTGCTTAAGCTATTCGTGCTGCTCCCTGTCTCGCACTTGTCCTGGGCCCCCCGCCAGCAGCTCGCCGCGGCTGTTCCCACTCTTCGCAGGGCCCCAGACACCCGAGAAGAAGCGCGGTTCGGCTTTGGGGTGCCTTGCGGGGCTGCCCGGGGCCGATGATAGATATACTCGGAGCTCGTTCCGAAGTCCATCGGAACCCTCCTTCGCGCGCAGAGACCAGCTGTCAGGCTTGCCATGCGGCCTCGTGAAATTGCCCAGTTGCAGCAGGAGGTGCCCGCCTCCAGCGCGTGCCAGAGGAAGCCACATATTCTGCTTTCTGCTCTGGTAGGTCAAGCTCTGACTGGAATGCGCGCCGCGACACCTTCAGCGCAACGACGAAGATCCGCCGACCCCTTGTGGATCTCTAGGCGCGTGAGATAGTTCCCCCCCATAACCCCCCCCCCCAGGGGCCCTAAACCGGAGATTCGACCCCCCCCCCCCCGGCCCCGGGGCACCCAGGACCGAACGCGTCATGGGGGAGCAGAAGGTCACCAAGCGGGCCAGAAGCGCAAAAACGAGCCCACGCGACGGCCCAAGGAGGCCCCAAGAGGCCCCCAAGACAGCCCACGAGGGCCCCGAGACGCCAAACGAGCGCTCCAAGACGCCCAAGATGGCCCAAAGACGGGCTAAGACGCTTCCTAGAGCGCCCAAGTGGCCCCCACGAGGCCCCAAGAGGCCTCCAAGATGCGTCCTAAGAGGGTCCCTAGATGCAAAAATATGCCCATTCCCTTCGTAAAACGTACATTTGTTATACAAATTCGCCTTCTGGGCTTTTCGATGCCCCCAGACGGCCCAAGTGGCCCCCAAGACCGCCCCAAGACGGCCCAAGAAGCCTCCAAGAGGGCCCCAAGATAGCCCAAGAGGGCCCCAAGACGGCCCAACAGGCGTCCAAGACGGCCCAAGAGGGCCCCGAAGACGGCCCCAAGAGC